ACAGAATTAACGATAAGGTATTAGCTTAATAGGATATAGCATAGTATTAAAGTCCAATAACTAGATCATATGAAAATTAAAGTTTAGACATATGAAACATATGAATTATAGTAAAGTTTGGTAGTTTAAGAATAAGTTTTAACTGAGTTATAAGGCATTACGTTAAATCATAATAGGTTAATAGTATAACTGACAGTTAAGTCATTTAACTAAACTTATAGATTATAGTATAGTGTTAAGTTGATAATATTAATCGTTAAAAATATTGGGAATCAGTGAACTTGGATTGAACCTAGAGTTAACTCAGGAAAGTTTTTTGTATTAATCAGGGTATAGAGCAAAGAGTATAATATGAATGATTCATTGAACATTATGGAAAACACTTTGAACGATTTGTATTGAAATTGTGCACCTGTGACCTTAATGTAAGCACGGCAGGCATCATGGAATTTGAATTGTTTGCTTGGAAATTGCAGATCTCGTGGTGGTCTTGTGATGCATAGTTTGTAAAGCACGAAACTTGTACGCCCCCAGTGAGTGATTATCACATTGCTGGAGGGTATAGAAAATGGTATATAAGTTGGAAAATGTTTGAATAAACTTGGCTCCAGTCCTGATCAGACTGTTCCCAGAAGATCTGCCTCTGAGTGGTCTTCTCGCTGTCCAGATTCTCTGGTGCGGGTCCTAACCCACCCTTGGTCAGTGCTGGTCACCGACATAAGAGCAAATTATACGGAGAGATTTTAAAAAATATTTTAAATAATGAGAGTTAGTGTGACAATGTTATGCCATGAACAGATCTAAAGGGTCATCTGAAAAAGAAGTGAATAAGAGCTCTCTTTAATGACTTATTATTTATATTGTTATATAAATTCCATAAGTATAATGCAATATGACATTATTTTTATTATTTTAACTTCTCTCTAGAAGAGAAGTTTTCTCCTCTGCAAAATTGCAAAATGGGGTATTTGATCTGCTTCAAATGGTAGAAGGAGCACTGGTCTGTTTACTGGGGGAATGGGATTTCAGTCCTCATTCTGCTATTCAACTAAGCTAAAACTATTTAATCTCCTGTGTATTTAGACTTAAAAGGAAAAGTCTGAACCAGATGTTTTTCTACTCGCTATCCTAACATTCTGCGATTCTATAATGGGCCAAAATGAGTTGTGAAGCACACACATCAGTTTCCAAGACTGTCTGTATGGGGTCCAATCTTTTCTATTTACTTCATTAACACCACAATTCCTTTTTCCTTTCTGGTGGCCTAATATAAGGATAAGTCCTGGAATTCTGTAGAACATCAGGGAATTTGAGCGTAGGTATCTTAAGGGAAGGAGATAAGAGGATAGAAAGTAGGGAATTTGGATTTAGTTGGCTAAAGGGATTATAAAATTAGCTATGCCATTCTGATATCTCAAGTCAGTTGAAGCATTAAATAAAATTGAGTCAACTATTAACAGTTACTCTAAACAGTGGGCTAATATCAGCTGCAATATAACTCTCTGGAAGGTATTTGTTTAATTTAGATCACCAATTTATAACTCTGGTTTTGCCACATTTTACCATACCTCCAATTGCCTCAGGGAATGTTACAATGCTCTTAAAAAATGGAAACAAAAAAGTTTAAATGATACTCAAGAAAATGAAAAATATTGCTAAACTGAGAATAAAAAGTAAGAAATTATGTTGTAAATCATTTGTTTGCCACTAATGTAAACTGTTTAAAGCAGGAGGTGGCAAACTACAGCTCATGGGCCAAATTTGGCCACTGCCTGTTTTTTGTAAATAAAGTTTTATTGGAACGCAGCCACATTCGATGTATTTACATATTGTTGATGGCTGCTTTTCTGCTACAATGGAAGAGTTGAGTAGTTATGACAGAGAATGTACCCACAAAGACTAAAATATTTACTATCTGGTCCTTTGCAATAAAGTTGTTCTCACTCCTGGTTTAAATTAAGACTAGACCAAAAATCACAGAGATGATTAAAGACTTTTCTATGAGCCAAAGTTAAAGATATCAAGTCAGTAGGCATCCTAGTTTTTAGATTTAGAATTTTAATCTGAAGAAACAGATTAAAATATTCTTGCTTCTCAGACCCTGCATTCCCTGTAGTAAGGGCCTATGTTTTCTTCTGGAGGCCTGACAGAACTGTATGCATAGACTGTACTTCACCTTGGCTTGCCAGGCATTCACACGTCCCTGGGCATTAAGACGGGCGTAGGACGGTTCCCAGAAGTCTCCCCACCAAGATTTTTTAAACGAGGAAGCTGTGATTTGCTTATTTTCTATCTTTCCATTTTCCATACCCAGTGGTGTGGAGCATCCTGTCAAGAGAAAAGTAATGTGGTTAAATGATGCATGTTTCACAAATATTCCCTGCATGGTATTTTGCACCACAGAAGAGATAAGAAATAATATTACTACCACCAAGTAACAACAAAAACAATGATCACAACAATGAAGATTTATTAAATCCAAATGCCAAACACTGTTCTCAGGTCTTATGTGTATTATTTCATGCTCACAATTATTTCCATTTTACAAACGAGAAAACAAATAGTAATTTGCCTAACACAGCCAGAAGAATCAGAAACTGAATTTGAGTCCATACAGTCTAACACCAAATGCCATGTTCTAAAAATTTAAACTCAGGAACCTTTGGTGCTTGCTTTTAGGTAGACATTCCTGAACTATCCTTATATAAAAACAGATCATCTGTTTCTTCTAACAAAAGCTACAAAGAAGATGTAATGGACCCTTGGTAGCTGCCATTTAATATTCCCTTTTCCAATCTTTGAAGGGTTATTCATGTTATGTATGTTTTGGAATTTTGCCAAGGTGTAATTTGAACATCATAGGCAGGAAGGCTGATCTGTGGCTGTAAAAACAGCTAGTGAGCGAGTATTGCTGACTGCTCACCATCGCTGTGACACTTTGTTCTTGTCATTTACTTAAAGTTGTTACCTTACTTTCACTATGAAAAGCAGGCCAGGCTCAATGGCTCAGCCTGTAATCCCAGTACTTTGGGAGGCTGAAGCAAGTAGATTGCCCAAGCCTGCGGGCAAGCCAACTTGGCAAGACCTCCTCTCTAGCCAGGCATGGTACGCACACCTGTAGTTCTGGCTACTTGGAAGGCTGAGGCAGAGGGATCGCCGGAGCCCAGCAGGTTGATGCTAGGGTGGCCCTGAGTGTGTCGCTGCACTCCAGCCTGGGTAACAGAGTGAGATTCCAACTCAAAAAAAAAAAAAAAAAAAGCCCTAAAGAGAAGACATATTCTTAATGCTAATTATAATACATATCAAGAAAGTAAAATTTTTAAATGCTATACAAATAGATGTTTTAAATAAATTAACAGAGTTGGATGTCACATTTTAAGGTAGTTTGACTCTGTGAGCTTAATAAGTCTACCATTTTCATACTATATATCATATGAAAATTTTAAAAACCCAATGATTTATGGAGCTGTTTCAAGGAGTGGTCCTGCCTGTACAAGATTTGTGTTTTGTATGGGAGAGGTTATATATTACTGCTATCTGAGCACTGGCAAAATGTCCACATGCAATTCTCTCATGAATGTCAAGGGTACACTGTACCATTATCTGCTTTGGTAAGAAACTGATTCCAAGGTTCAGCTGCTTTCTCCACTGTAAGTCATGGCTTCTTCCCCCCACCCCAAGGGGAAGCTACTGAAGGTCCCAACCAATGTGCTACAGCAAGTTTCTGGTGTGCCTATTTATTAACCTCCCTAACCTCCCAGCCCTTAAGCAGCCAGGTAAGGCCTGGGCCAGCCAAGTCCTGGGTTGATTGCTTCATTCTTTTACCTCAATGCTTTTCTTTTTTATAGAGATGGGATCTTACTATGTTGCCCAGGCTGGTCTCGAATTCCTGGCCTCAAGCAACCTTCCCACCTCAGCATCCCAAAGTGCTGGGATTACAGGTGTGGGCCATGCCAATATTATCTTCTACATGTGCTTTGAAGTGAAAAATTTTGGAAAGCACTGCTTTAAGAGTCTGAGAAGAATAGTTAAGACTTAAACAACCTTGTAATATAATATACAGTAGAATTTTATCATGACCATTTATGATTACCTGGATTTATTTATACCACAGGTCACATTACAGCCCCTGAAAAATAGCAGCTTACATAGAAAATGCTTGAGTACCTACATAGGGTATAAAAGAATATACAGTACAATCATGGTTCAGGAAGTGGGGAGGCAGATTCAGATTTCCAGATACTCGGTGAACACCAAATACATGCCAGTGATGTTGCTAGATACCTGCATTACATTAATGTCTGAGTGACCTAGAAGACTTTGGAATAGTTAGACCTGGTTTGAACCCAAAATGGGTGGATGAAGCTAGGGTCCTGCCTTGGAGGATCATGGTGTGGTCATATTATCTGCGCACTGTTCAAAGAGGTAGTGCCTGCCCTTTGACTGACAGAATCAGTCTTGGTCTAGATCACAGAGTTTTACCTGAGTGGAACCTTCGTTTCACAAAGGTTTTTTGTTTGTTTGTTTGTTTGAGTTGGAGTCTCACTCTGTCGCCCAGACTGGAGTGCAGGGACCGCTCCCGGCCACGGCAGCCTCGACCTGTTGGGCTCCGGTGAGCCTTCCGCCTCAGCCTTCCAAGTAGCCGGAATTACAGGTGTGCGCTACCACGCCCAGCTAATTTTTTGATTTGTTGTAGAGATGAGGTCTCGACAAGTTGCCCAGGCGGGTCTCAAACCCGTGGGCTCAGGCAATCCACTCACCTCAGCCTCCCAAGGCGCAGAATTACAGGCTGAGCCACTGAGCCCGGCTCACAAAGGTTTTTTTAGGACCCTAAGTCATTGAAGAAAACTAACAATTCTACTCATTCTCCCATACTTCCCAAATCTTCATTCTCTGAGTGGCATTGAACAAATAATGCATCTTTGTTCCTTACCATTAAGCTCACAGCCTTGTAACTCCAATCGAAGGGTAGGTCTGTTATAGGATCTAGTTGGAGAGATCCTAATATATCTAGCCACAATAGGTGGATCAAACTGATTCTCCTTTATTGTAGAGGCATCTGAATTGCCATCAAAATACTGGAAGGAAAGAGGAAAACAGTTATGTAACAATTCTCTATAAAGTGACTTTATAATATAATTTTTATCTAATTTAAAATTGTAATACTAAGTTTTCATGGGGCCTGAACCAAATCAATTTGGTCTTAAAGCATATTTGGGGATAATTCCACTACCAGGAGTTGGTACTTTGTTCTATTCCCCCTGCTGAGTGTGACTAAAAACCCTAAGAGAAACACAAGAAGACTGAGAGGAAGCGAGAAGAAGGCAGACTGGCCAGGGGTTTTGGAAGGAGCAACACAATGGTAGGTCACTGAGCTTTCTTTTTGCCTCATGCATCTCAGACCTGGAGGTGAAGAAGTCAGCAATCTGGAAACACAGTGTATTAAAAAATATCCCCGACAGAAGCCTGCTCTGTCTAGCCAAAGAACCAGGAAAAGGTAGCCTAGCAAGATAGAGAACTTGTAATTTTAATTTTAATTTTTTTGAGTTGGAGTCTCACTCTGCCACCCAGGCACGCTCATGGCCACCGCAGCCTCGATCTGCTGGGTTTAGATGATCCTTCCACCTCAGCCTTTCAAGTAGCTGGAACTACAGACATATGCTACCATGCCTGACTAATTTTTGTGATTTATTGTAGAGACAAGGTCTCACCAAGTTGCCCAGGCGGGTCTAGAACCCCTGGGCTCAGGCAATCCTCTCACCTCAGCCTCCCAAAGTGCTGAGATTACAGGCGGAGCCACCGCGCTCAGCCAATAGAGAACTTCTAGACAATCACTTAGCAACTTCTCTACTTGAGCCAACTGCAGAAAACTCTGTGGCCCCTCCCCCACCTACAACAGCAAGGCTGGGGAGCCTAGACTTCTAACTCGCGATATTAGAGAGGCAACCCGACACCCTCACTGGGGTCATGTCAGAAAAGGCCACATAGAGACCCCTGGCTCTCATCCCCTCCTAACCCTAGGGAAGCTCCCACCTCTGCAGTGTCAGTGATACCACTAGGGAGCTCCTGACCCCACCCAGCAACAAAGGAGCAATCCCACCTAAGGTGGCAGCAGAGTAGGGAACTGGACTTTGACCCCCATTCTGCAGTTTCCAGGTTGTGCCCGGTCCCTTTCCCTGCCAGAACAGTATCAGAAACAGCCAGCTAAAACAGAAGATAAGAGCAGACATCAGTAAGCTTGAAATAGAACAGAGAAAAATCATTGAAATATCTGATTCTGTGAGAAGATTAAAAAAAAAAATCCTAAAAAAAACCAAAACAAAATAAAACCCTACAAACTCTGTCAAGAATGACAAAAAAAGGAAAGGAGGTGCAAATTACAATAGCAGAGATGAAACAGGCAATCTCACTGCGGGCATCAAAAGGGTAGTAAGGAAATATTACAAACAACTCCACACACATAAACTTTACAATTTAGAGGAAATGGATCAATGTATTGAAATACACAAAAGTATCCCAACTCACCCAATATGAAGCAGATATTTTGAAAAACTTTGTAACTACTAAAAAATGGAATCTATAATTTTAAAACTTCCTGAAAGTTTTAAAATCTCCTGAAAGGAAATCTCCAGGCCCAGATGGTTTCACTGGTGATGTCTACCAAATATTTAAAGAATTAATACTAATTTTAGACATTCTCTTCCAGAATGTAGAATAGAAGAGCACTATTACTAATTTATTTTATGAAGCTAGTATAGCTGTGATATCAAAGCTAGGAAAAGATATTCAAAAAAAATTAAATAAATAAAACTACATACCAATATCTCTCATGAACATAGATGCAAAACTGTTTATGGACTCAACTGCATTCTATCTCTCAATACTGATTAGTAAGGACCATAATTCTATCTCTCAATACTGATTAAGGACCATAATTTAGAACTTTTATGATCTTTTCTAAGATATACTGTAAGTAATTTATTATTAAAATAGCTAAGTGATAATATAGAAAATAGCAAATGATTTACATAATATATAATTGATACAAGTTTGAAGTTATCAGTCAAATCATGGCAGTCTTCTTGATTTCATCTTTGTTTGGGTTGGGGGATGAGGGAGGAGGAGATGAGTTGTGGCTCCTCACTGAGCTCATGGAAGATTCAGCAGAGGAATGTCATTCCTCAGCCATGGCCCCCCAAAAAGTCTGAGACTCACGCTGCCTCAGAGCATTACTGGCATTAACACTACTATGTCCTTTAGGTACATTTAAATAAAGAATAAAATAGGTGGGATTAATAAGTAGTCAATATCTGTCTGGGGACAGGGGGACACCCCTTATCAACAAGGGTGCCTGAACGATGCATATTTGTATAACTAACCCTTAACTGTACCCCACAATTTTAAAATAAAAAATATGTTTAAAAAAAAGAATAAAACAAAATATAATAGTAAAATCAATACTCTTGATAGTCCATTTTTAGCACAAGCTCCTTGAGACACGACCAGATATTCCACTCTGCTGCATCATTTGCCAATTGTTGTTTCACCATTTGCCAGTCTGAGAAATCTGGGTATCTTGTTTGATGATAAACTTATTTTTTTTCTCATTTTGTGGGGGTTTGAAGTTTCAGTAATCCACGTATCTCTTTAATGTATGATACACAGACCCATCATATTATTGGTTTTCTCCATAAGACCCTTAGAAAGACATTCACATTTATAATACTCAGAAAGGTATTTCTAAGAAAGATATAGTCATTAGTCATAATAGGCTGAATCTTAGTGATTCAAGTAGAAATATGCACACAAACCATCACATTCCTTGTGCTGTTCCCTTTGAAGATCTGCCAGTTGGTCTGGTCAGAGCTGTAGGCCACATAGAACTCTGTGGTATAGCAGGACTTCAGGTAGTGCTTGGCGCCTTGGGTCTGGATCCCTGTGAGCACAACTTCCCTTTGCATGTCCACCTGCAAGACAGCAAATCCAATAAACAGGACTGTCCTTGTCATCAAGACACAATCAGCTTTCTTCAGAACTAAAGAGTCAGCACCTAAGATCTTAGAAAATGAATAAAATGACTAGACACAATCCATATTTGAGCACAGAGTGCCTGGACTCAAATCCCATCTCAACCACTACTAGCTCTGTGTTACTTTGGGAAGGGAGTTAGCATCTCTGTGCCTCAGTTTTCTCATCTGTAAAATAAAATATTACTAGAACCAACCTCCAAGCATTGATTTTTGAGGCTGTGAAGTACTTGTAATAGTACCTAGCACGTAATACTTGTTGTTTCCCCTAAGAACATTGCAAGAACAACAAGAAGAAATGATTAAATAACTGCCATTTTTATTATTACAACAGCAGTAAATATTATCAGGTTATTAAAACATACCTGGATCCAAGGTTTAGAAGCAAATTCTACTGCAAGTCTGTCTACACTCCAAGCATTATATGATCCACCATTGTTTAATCTTGCTAATCTGGGTTCCCAATAACCTAAATTCAAAGGAAGAAAAAATTATTCTAAATTTAAGAAAAAAGAAACCCAGATGATTAGCAATTTCTCAAGGGAGTTTAATCCAGCGGAAAAACATTTCTTTGGTGGACCTGTGTTGTAGTTAGGAGGCCAGGCAGTTGACATGGGCTTTGGCTACTAAGCCAGTCCTTGATGATGAGAATTTGTCTTCATGTCTGTGTCTGGTCAGCTATCAACGACCAGCCACCCCCTTTCTTGCACACAGGTCATGTTTGTCTTTTCTCAGTTATGTTGATGTGTCTGCTGACAAGTGTACCTGCCTAGTAGGAACACATGGAAGAGGTGTATGGGAGCCTCACGGTCCTCTTGATCATGACTTTTTGATTTTGGGAAGGACTTTGAGCCATAGTGAGGAAACTTAAGAGGAGTTCCTGACACCTGGGAGTGATTGACACAGTTTCTTGAATACAGGAATGACTGGCATAGGCCAAAGGCCATATTAATTGGGACTGTCACGCCTGGCTGATAAGACCCTGTGAATCTGGCTAGAATATTATATGTGTGATCAAACTCACAAAAGATGAATGGGGATAGGTTTGGAAATAGGCATGTGGTCATAAGAGTAAGCTATCTTCTTGCTGAACACCTGCAGAGAGCTTGGACTCCCTGTGCAGAGATATCAATGACCTATGGCTCTTGGTTTTTCCTTGAAGACACTCTTTGGGAATATTATACACCAGAGGGGGTGTATAATATAAGAGTGTACTAATATACTTTTAGCTCCTGTCATAGTGTTCTTTCCTTTACCAGAGGAGCACCCCAAATGGAGCTGTATCACTAAGGTGTGGTAGAGAAAAGCCTGGAGAAAATAACTGATCTATAGGCAGGATTGTCACGTATGGTTTCACAGGCTGTATACCACACAATTATAGGAGATACCATTCACAAGCTATGATGCTACAACTTACCCAGATACTCCGAAGCCTTGATCTGTGAATCAGATATGATACCAGTGCTTAGTCCCATTGGCATCTTACATTCTATGAAAAACAGAAAAATAAATATTTTTTGCTTAGATTAATACATACAGCAAAGTAAAACTCCATGACTAAAGAGTATATCTCTGATGGGTCACTAAATAGATATTTTTACCTACCTTATATGGCACTGACTTAAATCTGTTTCATTATAAAATGGTAAATGCACCATCAAGACTGATGCTTTAACAGAAATAGTGACATCCTGAGGAAAGCAACTGAAATCCTGAAATGCAATTGATTTTTAAACTAATTTTTTCTGCCTGTCTCTTAAAACAGGAGTCCCCAAACCCCAGGCCTGCAAACCGGTAGTGGTCCATGGCCTGTTTGGAACTAGGTCACACAGCAGGAGGTGACCAGTAGGCGAGTAGAGCTCCACCTTATATCAACCGCGGCATTAGATTCTCATAGAAGTACAAACCATACATATGAGAGTCCTAGGTTGGGCACACCTTATGAAAATCTAGTACCTAATGATTTCCCTTCCTATCCTCCCCCTTTCTGTGGAAAAACTGTCTTCCACAAAACTGGTTCCTGATGCCAAAAAGGTTGGGGGCCACTGTCTTTAAATATTTGTAGGCTATTTTGCAACATTAAGTGCGATCCCTCATGAGATCATGTCCTCAAAAGTTAGTTGGAAAGTTACAAGGTTATTGATATCTTGATCACCATGCTATCTGGATGTTGGCACAGTGCTTGGTAATTAGCAGGCACTTAGTAAATGCTTAAAGGATGGATGGATGAACAGATGGAAATAGTGTTTCCTGAATACTGAAATGCCAAGTTCAGTGAAGAAGTTACTGCTGAATTCCTGTTCTCTCTTCACTCTTGGAACTTGGAGAATTTCTTTTCTGTTTTTTTTTTATTGGAGTCTCACTCTGTCACCCAGGCTGGGGTGCAGTGGTACACTCACGACCACTGTAGCCTCAACCTTCTGGACTCAGGCAATTCTTCTGTCTCAGTCTTTCAAATAGATAGAACTAGAGGTGTACACTACTGAGCCTATATAATTTCTTTAAAAATTTATTGTAGAGATGAAGGTCTTGCCACGTTGCCCAGGCTGGTCTCAAACCCCTGGACTCAGGTAATCCTCTTGCCTCCACCTTCCAAAGTGCTGGGATTACAGACGTGAGCCACTACACCTGGCCAGAGAATTTCTTATATGCACCTTCCTATGGATCACAGCTCATGAGGGATGCTTCTTTACACTGATGTCCCAATTGAGAGGAATGCCTTTGATCTGACTGATATGTTTTCAATGCAGTCAGATCATGAGTTAGAATTAAAGCAACTATGGCTACAAATTATGCCTTTGTCATTTCAGAGATCTCAGACTTGATTGTTCCAATATAAGTGTTGACAATATCCTAATAACAGGCACTCTCCTGCTAAAAAGTATCATGTGGCTCTTGGGAATACCTCTGTCTATGACAAGAAATGGTGTTTGCATCCCTGCCCTCTGGTTTTCTCCAACCTCTGTGTTTAGGAGCCACCAGCCAGGTTTTGATGCCTTCATTTCAAGAGTTTTAAATGAACCTAAAATAGAGAGTTAAGGACAAAATTACTATTGTGGCTGATAGGTTTCCAAGAATCCTAAAATCCCTGCTTCACTAGAGGCTTCAGAATAGAGTTTAAGAGTTATCAATTATTCTGTAGGTAAGACTACAGAATAAAACAAAATACCACCAACACACACACACACACACACACACACCACACACTATTAAGAATCAATTGCCCCAAGATTTAAAAAAATTCACTAAAGTTTCACTAGATAGAAACTTTCACTTATCCATATATATTGTTAAAAGTTAGCTCTCACATAATACAGCTTTGCAGTCCTAAGTGTCAAAGTGATCCTGAATAACTTATCACTGTGCCTCAAAAATATTGGACTTTTTCTCTCTCTCTCTCTTCATTTTGCTGTTTTCTTTTTTTATATAAGAAAATCAAAATAACACATTATTTCCCCCCAGATGTTTTCAAATTGTCTATAAAGCTTCCATATTTCGATAGAGATTTATATAACTTGTTTCAGAAAATCATTGAAAGAAATTTCTAAAATCTCTGGTTATCCATTGTGGTATTTAGAATTACTCCCTACTACTTTGTATTTAAATTCTGTTGCCTATAATTTGTGATGATTTCCCCAGTTGTTGGTGCAAATTAATAGACGAGGGTCATCCTCTTCAAACACATGAAAAAGATCTCTGTTTTCCTCTTCCCAATGCAGATATTTAGGATCAGAGATTTAGATGGGCCAGCCAATCCCAGCTTCTCAGTCTACCTTGCAGGCTCATGGGAAGGACAACAGATCTGCTAATATTTGGCAAAAAGATAAGGGATGAGTTTAATCTAATCCAGTTCGCTCTGTTTCTGATTTTTTTTTTTTTTCAGAGATAGGATCTTGCTCTGTTGCCCAGGTTAGAATGCAGTGGTGCAATCATAGCTGATTACAGCCTTGAACTCCTGAATTCAAGCGATCCTCCCAACTCAGCCTCTTGTGTAGCTAGGACAAAAGGGGTGTACCACTACATCTGGCTATTTTTTTTACAAAAAATTGTGTAAAGATAGGGTCTTGCTATGTTGTTCAGGATGGTCTTGAACTCTTGTCCTCAAGCAATTCTTCCGCGGTGGCCTCTTGAAGCACTGGGATTACAGGCATGAGCCACTGCACTAGCTCTTCTCTGATCTTAATAGAGTGGGTCTTTCTGATGTATTAGTGAGTCACCGGGATGTGAAAAAACAAGAACCCCCTCCTCCCCTACTCTTAACCAAACTATTCCATTTGGACTTCCGTCCCTATATCTGAGGCAGACTCACACAATGACTTTCCCACCCAAAGTCCTGTCAAGAGACTGCCTTCACTAGATGCTCAGACAGTAAGGGAGGCTGCTTGTTAAAAATACAGCTCTGACTGGGTGTGGTAGCTCACAGCCGTAATACCAGCACTTTGGGAGGCTGAGGCAGGAGGATTGCTTGAGCCCAGGAGATCAAGACCAGTCTGGGCAACATAGTGAGACACATCTCTAACAAAAAATAAAAGCAGACTCCTGGGAATTCTGCCCAAGATCTGCTTTTTAATCTGCTTCCTAGGTTTTATTACACCCCATGAAGTTTGAGAATCTGACATCAGGCACCCACAGTCCCACTCACACACCTACTCCACAAGCAGATGCACCCACAAACAGCTCACTCACTGGCACATAAACATCCTGTTTGATGATATAGTTCTTAAAAATCTACATTTATCATTTGGCACATGAAAAGTTCTAAATGTTGCTGTTATTCTTTAGCTTTTACAATCATTAGAAAAAAAGGTTTTTAATTTGTTTTTTCTTTTCAGCCTTATAAGTCAGTTCAAGATTATGATTCCTGGAGTTACTTGCCCAAAAATATAAGGGTGACAGAACTAGAAGTAGAATTCAAGAATCTAGAAACCTTAGTAAGTTTCTTTCTTTTTGTTTTTTTAAAGAGAGTTTCACTCTGCTGCCCAGGTCTGAGCCCAGTGGTGTGATCATAGTTCACTGCAGCCTCAGACTCCTGGGCTCAAGCGATCCTCCTGCCTCTGTTTCCCAAGTAGCTGGGGCTACAGCCATCATGCCTGGCTAATTTTTTTATTTTTGTGTAGATATGGGATCTTGCTATGTTGCCCTGCTGGTCTTGAACTCCTGGCCTCAAGAAATCCTGCCTTGGCTTCCCAAAATGTTGAGATTACAGGCATAAACTCCCATGCCTGACTGCTAGTAAGTTTCTAACCTCCCTCCCAATAGAGATAGCTTTAGCTGTCTGAGCCCTGTGGGATTCATTCTGTCATCTGCTTGAGACCTGGTCTGTGTGACACATAATGGCTCAGGAGAACCTGCATGCGACATAACGTCTCTGTAGACCCAAGCTGGGCTGTGCATTTAGCCTGTGTGGTGCTGCAAATGGTTCATACATTAGGTGACGTTTTTGTACTCTGTGCAGCTTTGGTACATGGCTTTGCCTACAGGTTCTGTGCCAGAACCCTGTGTTCTAATCCCTTAGATAGTATATGTACAAGGAGGGAATGAGGGGGAGTCACAGAAGCTAAGATCGCCTTCCCTTAGCATTTCTCAGCAGGGAACTCTTCCCATTACCCAGTCTTTACCAGGTAGAAGGGGCCAGACGCCTAACTGGTGCTGCTGATTGCCATTTTCCAGCAAGGTCTGACCATGAAAGTGAACCACATGGATGTCTTGAGAGCCGCCTATGTTCAGCAGGTGTAACCTCACCCACTCTTGCTCGTACATCCTCAGGCCCGGCAAGTTGTAAATCAACCCATTAATGGCTGAAAGGACAGAGAACCGCAGTCAATAAAAACCTGTATGTACCAAGAAGGCAGTTGGTTGGTAAGGAAATATGGGGCAACCCCCTCACTGCCCTTCTTCCTCATTACTGTGTACAAAACGGGTCCTCCCACATGTCTTGACATCTGTGAGAGGCTAAACAGAGCCACCAGTCCTTGTCATGTCACTCATGCCAGTTTATAGCAGAAGGGTGGGGCACGCTCCCTCTCTAAGCAGTTTCTCCCTCTTTCCCCAAATTTTACACATCTCCTGCTCTGTGTTACCCATTTATTCTTCACATTAACACCTGAATTTTCCTTTGCTTCGAAAGGATAAAGACTAATATGAGCAGACAAAGCACAAGCCAGGGATTAGAGAGTAAGAAGGAGATATACAGAATGTAACTCTAAGGCCTGCTAAATTCAGAAATAGTTCTAGGCAAAATTAGGAAGTCTAGAAGTTTATCAAATCAGGATTTATCTCTGATGTGCCCACCAACCACAGTGAGGCATGTTTCTCTTCTCATTAGTGATAAAGCATAGTGCTCTTCTTTTAGTGATAAAGCTTAGTGCTACCAAGCATTTAATGAAACCAAAGTGAGGGGCATTCATTTTTCCTTCTTAAGTTAAAGGAACTTGCAGTGGAATTCCAGGAACCAGGCAAGTGAAATTTTTGGAGGGGGAAGAGTTGGGATCATTTGGGCACCCTTAAAACTATACTGGCTATAGGAACAACTATCTACATACCCATGATACCAGCTCTTACCCCTCATCTTGGTTCCTGTTTTTGTTGCCGATGTATAGGCCAAGCTCCTGAGTGGATTTCCGGTGGGCTTACTTTTCCCAGTATGACCACCCATGCTCTCATGCTGTTCTCCCATTACCTGACTGTCTAGCTTCCTATCTCATTTTGCTCCCAGATGCTTTGGATGTCACCTGGGAGCTGCTGAGAGCCAGAACTATTAGAACCATGCTTATTTTTGAAAAAGACACCTGGGTGGTCATTTTTTCTAGATAAACACTTGCATCTTTGATGATCAAGAGCTATTCACTTTTAAAGCTGCAGAACGATGCTAATTCCTTTTCAATGTATGTTACCAGCTGAAACACATTGACTTTTTTGTTTGTCGGTTTGTTTTGTGGCAGTCTCTGTGCTACCTTTCAGACATTCTCTTCTCTCCTTCACCCACAGTGCCTCCTGCTAGGTGACATCAGCTGACTGAGACGTTAAGGAACTGGTTTTAGTTGTAGCCCCTGGTTCCTCAGAAACATCTCATGTCTAATCTTGTGAAGATCTAAGGGCAGGAATCACCGTGACCCAGTGCAATTTAATTCAGAGATTAGATCAAAGTCAGAGGAAACTACCATGAAACTCATGGGAGTTTTTTACTTCCGAGGATGTGAGACTCCAAGACTTTTTGGACTTCTTCTCATAGTACCAGCTCTTCTTTTCATCAAAGACCATAAAAAGTAAGACAAATTCTCTCATGTCCACAGGCATGTTGCTCTCTTTATGAAGTGTTCCTTTTCGACAGATCATAAGGGGACCTATCAGGCCTGAGTGGATATCTTTTTCCTGGAAGACAGTAAGAGCAAATTGCATTTCTCCTCCCTTTCTCAGGATTTTCTTTGCTCTTCTGACAGTTGTTGGTCATATAGACATGGAAGATTTCTTACAGGCTCTGAATTTGAAGACTATAAATTAATAGCTTAATAAGCCTGGATATTTATCATCTAATTCTGTTGCATTCATATTCCCTTCCTATGGTTGATCCTTTATACCAGTAATGGTGATAATAATAATATTGATGAATACTACTTATTGAGCATATACTATTATATTAAAGGCTTTGCCAATAGTATCTCATGTAATATTGACAACTATCCTATGTGGAAAATATAAATTCATACCCTGATCAAATATTTACCAAGTGCTTACTATATGCTATGTACTATTATCTCTTCCTCTTCTTTTTCTTATTTTTTTTTTTTTTTTTTTTTGAGACAGGGTCTCTTTCGGTTGCCAAGACTGGAGTGCAGCGGCAAGATCATAGCTCACTGCAGCCTCAAAATCCTGGGCTCAGGCGATCCTCCTGCCTTAGCCTCCTAAGTAGCTGGGACTATAGGCATGTGCTACCACACCTGGCTAATTTTTTATTTTATTTATTTATTTATTTTTGAGTTGGAGTCTCACTCTGTCGCCCAGACTGGAGTGCAGTGGCCACTCCTGGCCACCGCAGCCTCGACCTGCTGGGCTCCGGCGATCCTTCCACCTCAGCCTTCCATGTAGCTGGAACTACAGGCATGCGCTACAGCACCCGGCTAATTTTTTTATTTATTGTAGAGATGAGGTCTCAGCAAGTTGCCCAGGCGGGTTCTTGGACCTGCAGGCTCAGGCAATCCACTCACCTCAGCCTCCCAAAGTGCTGTAATCCCAGCAGGATTACAGGCTGAGCCACCGAGCCCGGCTATTTTCTTTTTTTATAGAAACAGAATCTTGCTATGTTGCCCATGCTGGTCTCAAATTCTTGACCTCAAGAGATCCTCATGCCTCAGCCTCCCAAAGTGCTGGGATTATAGGCATGAGCCACTGCACCTGGCCAATTATCACATTTTTAACTTTAGAAACCAAGGCTGAGAAAGATCAAGTAATTTTTCTAACAGTGACAGTAAAATCTTCAATCTAAGTCTGTGCTCTTTCCACTATGCCTTAAATGAAGGTTTTAAAATTTGTGCATATTTACAGTATGCAGCATATTGTATTGAAGTATATATACACTGTGGAATGAAAGATGGAGTCTTGACTGCAGTTCTTTCATTCGAAAGAGCAGAAGAAAGCTAATACTTATTCAAGAAAATTGCAGATAAGTGTCTTGCTCTGTATATGTTGGCACCCTCACTTGGGGCCAACCACTTAAGTAATCCTCCCTTCTTTCCACTGAATTAACGTTTCTCTCTGTCATCTGAAGAGCTGCATGGAGCATTCCTGGTTATGGTAACTGTAGACTATTGACCATACCCTTACACAATAGCAAGACAGACATTTCACAAGAAATAACCCCGACTTTTGGTGGACTCAGGTTATCAGGCCAGGAGAATAACACAGACTCGACGAAGGTACCTACCGGGTTCACTGCTGAGTAGTAGGCCCAGGCCCGACAGGCAGAGCCAGGGCTCTCTGGCCCTGATCGCTCGGTGGCGTGCCATACGTACGTATAACTGCTGTTTGGCTGAACAGCATTGTCTTCCTTAAACCACTCAGGAGAATCATCTTCATATGTCTTTCCCTCTGATGATTTTTCATAGGAAAGCCCATGGGGATGAAGAGAATAAGGTCTGGATGCTAAGTTTTTAAAGTGAACCTAGGAAAAGGAACGATCCACAAAGGTACTTAAGTTTAACAAACTCTAAACCACAATATGTTGGCATTGTAGGCCAAAATGGGTGGTTATGGAAGCAGAGCTAAGGTGTACTGAATGCTTACAGTTGCAAAGTAACTTATGTATATTATTCCATTTCGTTTTCACAACCATCCTGTGAGATAGAGACCAAGTAGTTTACCCTGGAAGTACCAATATATGCTTGTTCTTAGGCTCAAGGCGAAAGTACTGACATTATCTACAAATGAAATGATAGTGATGGGTGCTGGAGATGTGAAGATGAAAGAGGCTTGGTCCTTGTCATAAGAAGCTCTCCAGTCACTGGTGAAGACATATACATGTGAATCCACACTACAGATCTGGAAGCAACAGTTATTGTATACCAGGTATGCCTGGGTTTAGATGAGAAGGTCCTGGAGGAACAATTTGGTTGAATGTTTAGGAGAGAGGGAAGAATTAGGGGAAGTTTCTCAGGGGAAATGGAATTGGCTCTTATAGGATGAACAGGAGCTCAGCAGAGGGAGAAAAAGGAGAAAGACATTGCAGGCTCCCAGAAAGGCAGAGACACGCCAGTGAGGAGCCGAGTGAAGGAAGGGTCTAGGGCACAGCAGAGGTTTGGGAGTGGCTGGGCTGTGGAAGGCACAGCGATGGCTGGAGCCTAGTGAGAAGTGAGATTGGAAGAGGACTAGGTTGGACCAGATGACAGAGGACCCCAGCACAGTCAGGCCTGTGTCCTTCTCTTTTATGACTTTTAGTGAGAAAAGTCTCCTTAATCATATGAGAAAAGACTGTTGCCTCTCACATCTTCACAGAACACTTAGAACAATTAAGATTCTTATGTCCTTATATACTTTTCTGTATTTTTAAAAAAGAGCAAATGATCACTGAAAATTTGGCAAGTGCTTAAATAGGTAAAATAGATTATATTTTTGATAAAATAGTTTATTTTAGATTTTAGTTTATTTATTTATTTACTTTGTAAGTAAGAAGTTAGCAAATATGGGGGTAAAATAAACTTTGTTGTAAACATCAGTGATAGGCCTGGAGCTGGACACAGGATTTGGAAAGAAACACCAGGACTGGAAAGATACTTAGGAAACTTGCTTACCTTTGGAGTGCATGGAGATACCTTACTTCCCTTACAAATTTCTTTAACTTCACTTTCTTTTCTTTTAAGAAGACATCAGGAAATTTGTCTTTTTTAAAAAATTTTATAAAAATAGAGTCTTGCTATGTTGCCCAGGCTGGTCTCAAACTCCTGGGCTCAAGCAATTCTCCTGCCACAGTGTCCTGAGTAGCTGGGATTACAGGTATGTACCACTAGGTCCTGCTATATTTCTAAAATACTATTATGCCACCACTACTATAAAACCCAATTGAATTGTTCCTGAATATATTGATTTTCTGTGTTAACTTTAGATATGCTAGCTTTAGATAGAAATTATAGTGTGATTTTCCTCAGATCATATAGTTTTCAGCATTTGAAAAAAGGTATTTTCTTACCTTGAAGATTGTCGAATTGCTTGACAAGGAATCTTTGAAAATAAGTGTAATTATTTGTTAATTCTGGAAAATGAATAAATCACCTATAGCTCTCTTACCACCTTCACCTTTATAACCTTCCAACTTGTGGAAATTCTCTGATAATCTTAGTGGTTCTCAAAAGGTGACTTACTTGGATAACATCATCCACTTCTGCTCTAATAATAGGTCCAAGAATGCCAAGATGCTCTTCATATTCCCCCTGAGGATCACGTTTGGTGAAAGTGCTGTCAAGGTACTTTCGAAAAACTACTTTCTTATATATGGTGTTTTTTTGAATATCATCAGTGTCTTCATTATCTATTTCACTAAAATGACAATAGTATTTGTTAAAAAGAAGAGATTAAAGACTGTTCAAAGCATTTAGAAAGTTGTCTTTGTTTCTAAATATAGTATCTAACATAGAGAAGGACTTTACTAAATAATTGATGGACAAATGAATGAATATGTAAGTGAGCAAAAGCACAAGCCAGTAAGTATCTTTCAACTCCCAGTTCAATTATAATTTTACAGACAAGTCTTCCGATGATCCTTTAGACCAGGTCAAGTCTCTCTGTATCATTATATTTCTATAGTATTATTATAGTGTATATAGCAAATTCCTGTAGTATTCCTATATTTCTATAGTATATATAGTAAATCACATATAATTTATTTGTGAGATTATCTATTAATAGCTAACTCTGTCACTGGGGTATGAGTCCCATGAAGTCAGCTACTGTGCCTAGTTTGCTCTTAATACTTTCAACAGTGCTTAGCACATTATTTAGCACATAGTAGGCACTTATAAATTTTTTCAAATATATATGTAAATGAACAAATATTATCATATATTAGCACAGCAAATTTTAATATCAAAGGCAGACAAAGCCATGCAACAGAACAGTGCTAGAGCTTGAAACTCTAAGGGGACAATGGTCATATGAGTTAGAAGGTCACCTCTGTGAAGGTCGCCAGATGGATCAGAGTTTTGTACCCTGAGAGTAGCCATTCTCCTAACATTTGTTTTTGCCAATATACATTATTCCTAAGCTTTTTGACATTGGTCTGGGCAAAGATTTTGGAATATGACAAATGGGATTGCATCAACTAAAAAGTTTATGCAAAGCAAAGGAAACAATCAACAGAGAGAAAAGAAAACCTATGGAATAGAAGAAAATATTTGAAAACCCTAAGGAATTATCATTCAAAGTATAAGAAACTCAACTCAATAGCAAAAATAAATATAAACTGATTTTAAAACGAACAAAATGCTTGAATAGACATTTCTCAAAGAAAACATATAAATGGCCAACAGGTATATGAAAATAATGCCAGGCCGGGTGTGGTGGCTCAAGTTTGTAATCCCAGCACTTTGGGAGGCCGAGGTGAGAGGATTGCCTGAGCCCATGGGTTTGAGGCCAGCCTGGGCAACTTAGCCAGACCTTATCTCTACAATAAATCGAAAAATTAGCCAGGCGTGATAGCACGTGCCTGTAATTCCGGCTACTTGGAAGACAGAAGCCGAAGGATCACCTGAACCCAGCAAGTTGATGCTGGGGTGGCCGTGAGCATGCCACTGCACTCTAGCCTGGGCAACGGAGTGAGACACCAACTCAAAAAAAAAAAAAAAAGAAAAGAAAAGAATGCTAAAAGTTACTAATAATCAGAGAAATGCAAATTAAAATTACAATGAGAAATCACCTCACACCTATTAGGATGGCTATGATAAAAAGACAAGAGGTAAGTGCTGACAAGGATATGAAGAAAAAGGAGTCCTTGTACACACTGTTGGTGGGGTTGAAAATTAGCACAGGCTGGGCATGGTGGCTAATCCAGCATTTTGGGAGGCCGAGGTGAGAGGATTGCCTGAGCCTAGGGGTTCAAAACCAGCCTGGGCAACTTGGTGAGACTTCATCTCTACAATAAATCAAGAAAAATTAGCTGGGCATGGTAGTGTGCACCTGTGCTTCTAGCTAAATGGAAGGCTGAGGCAGAAGGATCACTTGAGCCCAGCAGGTGGAGGCTACAGTGGCCGTGAGCGTGCCACTGCACTCCAACCTGGGTGACAGAGTGAGATTCTGACTCAAAAAAATTAAAAAAAAAAAAAAAGAAAATTAGCACAGCCATTATGGAAAGCAGTATGGAGATTCCTTAAAAAATTAAAAATAGAACTGCCATATGATCCATCAATCCACTTTTAATTATATATACAAAGGAAATGAAGTATGTCAAAGAAATGTCTGCACCCCATGTTCACTGCAGCATTATTCACCTTGACCAAGATATGAAACCAGTCTAAGTGTCTGTCAACAAATGAGTGGAAAAATAAAATGTGGAATATATAAACAATAAAATACTATTCAGCCTTAAGAAAGAAGAAAGAGAAGAAATGTCACTTGCAACAACAAGGCTGAACCTGGAAGATGTTACATTAAATGAAATAAGCCAGGCACAGAAAGACAAGTACTGAATTATTTAACATGTGAAGTCTCAAAACACTGAACTCACAGAAGCAGAAAGAACAGTGGTTAGCAGGGGCTGTGGGGGAGGGGGATTAAGAAAGCCAAAAGATACAAAATTTCAGTTAGAAGAAATAAAATCAGGAAGTCTAGTGTATCATGTGACTATAGTTAATAACGATGCATTGTATTCTTGAAAATTGCTGAGAGTCGATTTTAAGTGTTCTCACCATGAAAAATAAGTACGTGAAGTAATGCATATGTTAATTAGCTTGATCTAGCCAGTTCACAATTTATAAACATGTTAAAATAAAATGTGCACCATAAATATGTAAACAACAACAAAAACTATAAGTACTTGTAGTAGCCTGGCTGAATCTCCAGAGGATTATACTGAGTGGAAAAAAAATGCCAATCCTCAAAGGTTACATGTTGCATGATTCCATTTATATAATATTCTTAAAATGACAAAATTATAGAAATGGAGATCAGACTAGTAACTGCGAAGGGCGATAACAAAGGTGTATGGTGGAAGGAAGGAAGAGCAACAAGAGGAATTTTGTGGTGATGGAAGTGTTCTGTATCCTAACAGAACTAACATCAATGGGCTAGTGGTGATATAGTACTACCGATTTGCAAGATGTAACTCCTGGGGGAAACAGGGTAAAAGATACAAAGACTCTCTCTGTGTTATTTCTCTTAACTGTATGTTAATCTTAATTACCTTCAAATAGAAACTTTAATTAAAATATAAATAAATAAAGCACATTATTCCCACTGTAGCTCATCAGCTTAGTCTGGGGCCAAAGCATGCCAGATTCTCCCACTGGCTCTCCAATTTCCCAAGCCCAACACTTACCCAGAATATTTACTATATTCCATGTGCCATCAAAAGAGAACTCCATTCTGCTTTTAGTCCAGTCTTTCTCCCCTAAGAATCTCATCTTTGCAGACTCTGAGTCTAGCATACAATCTCACAAACACATAGGGATGGGCAAAGCAAATTTGATTGCCAGAAAAGGGAGTTGTAGGCCTGGAATGGGATACAAGATTTTGAAGGAACTGGTTCTATCCCTTTCCACACCGGACAGGCCCTAGATCCTATCCCCTCGGGGCTTTGCTTTGAAATTATCCGATAACTGGGTACGTATTCTCATATAGTATTGGGTGCCACATTTAAATAGGAAGTCATAGGAGAAGGTGCTTGAACAGAGTTATGATGTGTAAATGTCTAGCATCAGATTGATGAACTGATTTGCATGTCACACCACACATTATGTTTGTCTACTCTAGTTACACTTTGTTTTTTAATTGATTAGTGTGAAGTTTGCTTTTGTAAAAACTGTGGGCTGCATTGAGACAGTGGATGCACAGTTAACATGTACCACCCTGAGAATCTGTAGTTGACTAAGACTTACTCCTTTCTTCCTCTCTCTTCTCTCTTTATGGTTCATCCCAAAATAAAGAGCCCAGCCCAAGATGACTTTCTACCCCCTAAGCAAAACTGAATTGCTTATGATCTTAAAAAAAAAAAAGTATACAGATTCCTTAGAAACTCTGATGTAAACAAGTAAGTGCAGAAGGAGATTTCAACATCACATTGGATTTGAAGCCAACTTCAATTAAATCCTACTGATTAGTATATAGCTATGGATAGAGTGGGCTCTGCATTAGAGCAAGAAGTGGAGGTAGGAACATGTATAGTAAGAGAAGAAGATATAGGGGGAGACTTATTTAACTACAGAATATCATAGACTTCCTACAGTGATTGTTGTTATATTGTCCAGGTTCTTGTAAAGTACAGAGGCTAATCTTGGAAATGTCAAAGGAAATAGTTTAAGACAAGTTGCAACAGGGGAACCAAACTATACATAGCACAGTTTGCCCAGAATTATCTCCCTGGATTGTTGTAGCTACTTTTTTTTTTTTAACTTTAGTAGAAAAATTAGAATATAAAAGGAGAAAACTGGCCAAACCGTTGTACAAATTTTGAATAATCCCAGGATATTTCTTCGGCAGCAATGTAATACTTTTTTCTGTTTCCATTGTTGCTGCGGAGGTACCATGCTGCAATGTTGTCAGGATTTCTGGAGGAGTTGGTGTCTGTCCTAGTATCAGTTTTGTAGGGGTCATCATAGGACACATAATCAGTTTTAACTTCGTCTTCTTCACTGCTGTGGTCATCTGGCCTTGGAATAAACTCAATGTAATCTTCACCATCTTTACTGAGGCCTACTATCACCACTGGATTAAACTTCTCTGATAAAAAAGTATCATTAAGTGTAGGAGATGATGGTGGAGATGGCATCTGATCAAGGTCTGGGTAAGGAACAGTCTCACTAGATTCTGGAAGAGGCAATGACTGCTTAGACTCAAAAGGGTAGGATGTCTGATCAAGGTCAGGAGGAGGCGATGTCTGCTTGAGATCGGGACGAAGTGTCACCTGACTGATGTCTGGAGAGAGAGTCACTTGGCTGAGGTCTGGGGAAAAGGGTATCTGACTAAAGTCTGGGGAAAGGTTTGCCTCACCAAGATCTGGAGAAAGGGTCATCTGGTTGAGGTCTGGGGAAAAGTGTATTTGACCTAGGTCTGGGGAAGGGGTTGTCTCACTGAGTTCTGGAAAGAGGGGCATCTGACCAAGGTCTGGAAAGGGCGCCATCTGGTGGAGATCTGGGGAAAGGGGAATCTGACTAAAGTCTGGGGAAAGGTTTTCCTGACTGAGGTCTGGAGAAAGGCTTGTGTGACTGAGGTCTGGAGAAAGGGGCATCTGACTGAGGTCTGGGGAAAGGGTTGTCTGTCTAAGATCTGGAAAGACAGTTGCCTGCCACACTTTATGTTCTGAAGAAGGGGACATTTGACCAATGTCAACAGAGAAGGGCTTGAGACTTAGGTCATACGTGAGCATCTGGTCAAGCCCTGGAGGAGAGGACCTGGACCTGGGGTCTGTAGTAGAAAGCATTTGATCAGGGTCTTGAATGGGGAATGTTTGATAGTGTTCCTCTGGGGACACCGTCTGATAAAATCCAGGAGAGGAGTTTGTCTGACCAGCATTCTTTGGGAGGTCCTGATTATGGTCAGGAAGTGAGGCTATCAGGCCAAGGCTTATTGTGGGCAGTGTCTGATTGAGGTCTATGGAAAGAGATGTTTCATTGGACTTATGGAATAACAATGAATGACCCAGTCTTCTGTCTGAAAACGTGGCAGAGGCCTCACTTCTTAGCGGGTTAAAGCTCCTTGGAGATAAAGGAACAGACTTTTCCTTTTTCTTTTTTCGTGTCCTAATGAAAAAGGGGCTTTTCTTCAATCCACGATTTCCTCCATTCTGTGTTACTTGTAGAGATGTATGCCTAACTCTAGAAAGCTCTGGGCGACCACTTTGCTCTCCAGGTTTATTTGTAAGAGGAGTGCTTTCTCCCCAAGAACTTGAGGCATTCTGGGGGTTGGTCAGCAGCTTATTAAAAGCCTTGTCTTTATCAGTATCTTGTATTATTTCATAGCTACCTTTCTCAGAAACCAAATGCCATTTATCATTCAAAATCTTAGATGGATTCTTTTGTTTTAAAAGTAACAGATCACCAGAAAGGTCCTCCCAGGGCTGCATTCTGGGAGGAGAATTACTGCTTTGGCTTAAATGGCTCCCCATTTCATGTGCTGGTGATTCCATCCAGGAGAACCTGTGCTTTTCTGCCTGGTCTTTTTCCTTCCTGGGTTCCTTATGTTTTGCTTGTTCTTGCCTTGTGAATCTTCCTAGAGCAAGTGGAAGTAGGCTTATCCCCATGACATCTGACTGTAGAGGATCATCTACAGGGTCTTCAGAATAAGGGTTAAAATGCTCTGCTGTGGAAGAGTTAAGCACTGAATTGTTGTCTAAGTCAACGAGGGGCCCCCATTGGGGGCCAGCTGTAGTGGTTCCTGGGTAATGAAGTGTTTTCTGAGGTTCAGTGGAGTTGCTAATAATGAGCCTGCTAATATTACTTGGGGAAGAAGAATTTGAACGATCAGCTGTATCTGTACTTGGGGGAATGAATTCAGAGCTGTTCTCTAGAGCTAGGGCAGTAAGATTGAACTCATCTTCCTCCCAATTTCAATGATGAGTTTCTGAATGACCTAATTCCTAATACTGAAGCCAGTAAGTCCTGGTAATCATATTCACTATTATCCTTTGTATCTTCATTTTCTGAAGAATCATGCATTTTCCGTGTAGCCATGCCTGAAAATGCTGGAGGTGCATACATCTCATATGAGTCTTCACCCTCATTGCGGATACATTTAACATCTCTGAATCTCAGCCTTAGATTTTTGCTTCTTGTATTAGAATTCATGGTGGTTAACAGCCAAGTTCCTACAGAAGAGCGAGAGAAGAGAGAGATGAAAATCTGGGAGAAGATATAAAAACAATCTGTTGTAGCAGGTGATTTCTAATAAACTTTAGTCAGAGATGCTCAAGTATGGTCTGTGGACCACTGCTAGACTGTGAACTTTTTTTTTTTTGGAGTCATGGTCTCACTCTGTCACCCAGGCTGGAGTATAGTGGCAGAACCATAGCTCACTCACAGCCTTGACCTCCTGGGCTCAGGCAATCTTCCCACCTCAGCCTTCTGAGTAGCTGGGACTACACCATGCCTGGCTAATTTTTATTTATTTACTTATGTACTTATTTATTTATTTATAGAGATGAGATCTTGCTATTTTTCCCAGGCTTGTCAAACTCCTGGGTTCAAGCAATCCTCCCACCTTCACCTTCCAAAGTGCTGGAATTGCAGGTGTAAGCCACCATGCCCGGGCTTAGACTGTAAACTATTGATTACTGATCCACAATG